GAAGGAAGGAAGGAAGGAAGGAAGGAAGGAAGGAAGGAAGGAAGGAAGGAAGGAAGGAAGGGAAAATTTTAAGGAACTGTCTCACACATGGATTCTGGCAAATCTGAAATCTGTAGAGTGGGCCACCTGGCTAGCAGCTCAGGCAGGAGTGGATGCTGAGGCAGATGGCCTGCTGTTGTCATGATGGCCTTCAGATGACTGGATGAGGCTCCCAATAAGAGGGAAAGTAATCTTAATTAAAATGAACCAAGTGTGGTTGTGAACTGCATCTACATGATGCCACCACACCAACACCTAGAGTAAACTAGCATTTGATGTAATCCCTGAGCTGGGCACTATGACCCAAACAAGCTGACCCATTCCAGCCCTGGAGACAGGCTGGTGTTCGCTCCTGTGCTCAAATCCCTCCAGGCTATGCTTGCCCTAAACAGAAACTACCCACCATCTCCTAGGTATCCTCCCCTTGCTCACTCCTCTTGCTCAGTCAATACATCCCTCCTAGGCTTCAGGCACCACCTCAGATCCCAGAGCCTTAGCAACTGCTCTCTGCCTGGAGCCCTTCCATCTGCATGACTTCCCTCTCCTCCTTCAGGTCCTGTTCTGATACCATGTCAGGAGGAGAACTGCCCCCGCAGGATGGAGAACAATGTCCTCATCATCCCCCATAAGCCCTCTCCTCTGTCCTTTACTTTATTTCTACCAGCAGCATTCACCACCATATGATATATTTACCAACTTACTGGTTTCCTATGCAGTCCCTAGGACTCTGGATTACCGTGTATTTGGAATTTGCTGGTCTCTTTTTATTTCTTAGACTAACGCCCAGCCATAGTAGGTCCTCAACAGGTACTTGTTGAGGGAATGAATAAGTTAGAAATGATAACTCTAGCAAGCGTGTGTTAAAAAGAGGTGCCGTGGGCATGCTTGTGCCCAGGGGCCTGTCCTCAGTCTCCCAACATGTTTACCATCATTCCCTCCACAGGTTGTTTACTCATCCTCATGGTTTCAACTTCCACCCTCTGCCAGGGACTCTCAAATGTCCACATTTCCCCAGTCCTGGTTCCTGTACACACCCTCACCAGGTATCTGCATCTGCACAGGATTCCCAGGGACTCTGAAATTCTGTTTATTTGGAACTGAACTAACCATCACTTCCACATCTTTCCTCTCCCTGTGTCCTCACTTAAGTAGCAGCTCCACCTAACTAGCCATCTAGGGTCAAAACCTGGGAGGCCTTGCAATCTCCTGCTGCCCTGCCTACCCTCATTCTGTCCCCTTCAAAATGACTCTGAACTCTTACATCCGATTGCTCCTCCATACCTCCCACTGCTGGCCCATGTTTCAAATCCTCGTTCTTCAGCCTGAACCACAACAGTCATCTCCTATCAGTGTCCCTGTCTCTAGCTTTGCCTCTTCCAACCCTTTGTTTACCATACTGCTAGAGTGATCTTCCTCAATATCACATGGATCTCTGTGCTGTGCAAAGCCTTGTGATGGGCTACTGTGTTATGATTCCATCCTGGCATCTGCTCGTGCTACCAGTACCTGAAGACACACACAGCTCCACACACAGACGCACATACAATCACCACATCCATCACCTCCTTCATCATCACATTGCCTCCCCCATCACCAACACATTCCCACCACCACCACCACCTCTCACCGCCATCACTATCAACACCCCTGCTATCACCACCATCACCACTACCTGAGCCAATGACAAATTGCTTGCTTCCTCACACTGCTTCCTCTATCTGGTGACACCATTCCCATCATAGCTATTCATTTTCTGAGACTCATCTTCCAAAACTCAGTTTGTTCAGCTTTTCTAATCCTCCTCCCGGATGGACTTTATTAATGAATTCTCCAAATCCACTTTGACTTTCCTAACATTTATGACAGAGCCTCCGAATAGGTTATTTCATTCATTTCTTTAGGAAGTTAGTTGATTTAAATTTTGAAACATTTTAAATAATAAGTTTCCTTATTTATAAGCAAATAACTGTAACCTACTCTGTGAAGTCATGTGAGAATATGATGAATGAAAACAGGTAAAGCACACAGAATAGTGTCTAGCATAGGGTAAGTAGCTAATAAACATCTACAGTAGGTCAGGTGAAACTGAGCTGTGCTGCAGTAACCAATTACCCTTAACAGCCCCAGGCCTGGAATAATCAAGATTGCACTTTACTCATACTGTATGTTCACAGTGCTGAGAACCCAGATTCTCCTGAGGCCCAAAGTCCTTTAAGCCTCACCACTTGCATAATAAGATTTCCACCATTTGCACAAGGAAAGGTCTTCATGGTCTACACTTCTGGTCAATGATATCATTCTGCTCCCTTTTTTCTTCATAGAAAACATTCCCATCATTTCTAGGGGAGACGGACTCTGATCCAGTCAGGACATCAGATCATTATCCAGGATCCCTGAGGGATACTAAGTGGCCTTTCCCCACCCACTGAGAACCAGGCAGATTGCAGGGTAAGAGGAAGCATACTCAGGAGCACCTGGTCTGTAGCATCTCTAAAATCCTCCAGGGAAGATACTATCAAGACCCCTCCTGCTTCTGCATCCTGAATGGAGCTCTGTTCCTTGTCCTTTTCCCTGGCTGGCCCTCTTTGTTCTCCCCTGGGACATACACACAGTGGTTTGGGAAAGATGCCCCCTTGGGAAATGCACAAGTTTCTCAGCTTCTTTTCTTTCCCTCTACATGGACAGTCAGGGCATAGGGGGCTGTTCTATGTTTTAAACAGTAATGGGCTCTCTTATCTGAGGTTCCTGAATCCATTTTCCATAAAATTCCCTCAAGTCTTAATAGGCGTCCATTTTATTTTCTTCCAGATGGTATCATGTGTCCAATTTGCTCAGTGATACTTCCAGGTCTTTTTATTTGCTTTCTCACCTCTGGGCTGCATCACACACTCTTGATTCAAGGACATCTTCCCTGTAGCTATGGGACTTAAGTAGAAATGCCACCCCTAGAATCTGCCCTTTACTTTCAGACATTTCATCAGAGTATAGATTTTATTAAATCTCATCTCTTAAATTTGGAGATTCAAAGCAGTCGATATCTCTGACACTGAGAGGTCCAAATTTCTGACTCTATTCCATTTCATTTCCTTTAACAAATGAGCCACTTGCTCTAGAAGAGCACATTGGTTTTTTTCCCCAAAGAACTTACATGATCCTATTCAAATTCAACAAGGGCGGCAGGGACATACGGGGACATACAGACATTCAGTGAGACACACCACTTGATGCCACATTATTTTCCAAAATGTTCTTATCAGTTTACAGTCAAGGGGAAATTCACCTACCCACATCTAGCATGTGTACTTTCTCTGTTGTTGTTATTCTTGTCATACAAAAATCAGTGAATGTCCTGAGGATTGGTACCATGTGTTATAAATTTCTTTACTCCCTATAATGGGCCAACTATCTCAAATATGCTTTAATTCTGATATAATAAATGTATACATATAATGATATAATAAATGAATATAAGGATGGATGGGAGGATTCTTTATTTGCCTTAAAAGGAAGAATTTACCAGTCTGAAGGAAGCAAGTATCACACAATCTGCTACAAGACTTTGATCTAGAAAAAGCTATATTGCAACACACTTCTTATTTCTTTTTTTAAAAAATAGGTTTCAGAATAAACAAGAGTAATGGCCAATTTTTTTAAAAGGACCTTTAAATCTTCTCATCCTCACCATGTCCATTGAGAACATGATGCCTAAAGTTCCCTTAATGTGGAATACCACATTCCCTTTGCCTCTGTATTCAGCTCTTTACTTTCAAATTGGAGACTTCCTGAACTGGTTGAGTGGATGACTCTCCCTTGCTTGGCAAGAAAATAGTACTTGCTCTGTGTGTTTTTAATTCTATTGGTCTTTCTGCCACTCTCTGACAATTTATAAATTCATTTCCCCTTATCTTTACGACAGTGCATATAAAAGTCACCGTAGGGTGAATTATTAAGAGTTTAGGAATTAAGCCAGCCAAACCTGGGTTCCACTCCTAGTTATGTCACTTATGGGGGTATATTAGTCGTATTTCCATTGCTGGGACAAAATACCTGACATTCACAATTTAAAGGAGGAGAGGCTTATTTTGGCTCATGATTTCAGAGGGTTCCACTGACAATCAACTGGCTCAACAGAAAGGACATGAAAAGGAATGATGAAGCAAAGCTCCTCACCTCATGGCAGCCAGGAAATAGAAAAGACAAAGTCAGGGACAAACATAAATCCTTCTAGGTCACACCCAGGGATATATTGCCCCCAGCTGAGCCCACCCCCTAAAAGCACATTCAGCCATAAACTCATAAATGATTAATCCATTGATAGTGTCCCCATGGTCCAATAATCTTCCAGAAGCCCCACCTCTGGACAAATAATACATTTGCAGATACTTTTTCTTTGTTTTATTTGGTTTTTGAGATAGGGTCACACTATATATAGTTCAGGCTGCTCTTGACCTTGTAGTGATACTGCATCACCCTCCTGCTTCACCTTCTCAAGTACCGGAATTGTGCAACCACACCTGGCCTGGAGAGACATTTTAGATTTAAACCATAACATTCTGCTGTTGGTCCTCAAAAGGCCAAGTCCATCTCATTATACAAAATGCATTCAGTCTATCTCCAAGAGTTGCCAGAGTCTTAAGAGTTCCAGTATTGCTCAAAAGTCCAAGTACAAACTTAATGCTCTTAGCTATGAGGCCCTATAAAAATCAAAAACAAGGTTAAATATTTCCAACATAGACTGCCACGGGATAAACATTTCCATTCTGAAAGGGAAAAACAAAGTAAAGTAAGACCAAAACCCAGCAGGGAAAACATTAAATCTTGTTGCTCCATGCCCAGCACACAAGGCATATGGTGGTGAAAAGCAATCTCCAAAGGGCTTGGGCAGCCCACATGGCCACTCTCTTGGGATGACTCTGATGCCTGACTGCAACTTTCCATGGCCAACTTCAACTTTCCATCTCCAATGTCCTGGGGTCTCCACTACAGCTTTGGCTTCACTCACATCTTTATGCATCACCCTGCAGGCACTGCTGGCAGGAACTGTGTCCCTGAAATACATTTTTTGCCTGGCCTCTCATGCTATCTTCCAAAATCTGGGTGGAAGCCTCCCAGATCCTACAATTTTGACATTCTGGTTGCCTATAAAACGAGCAAACATGGATGACACTAAGATCTGCTACCAGTGGAAACAGTGGGTGAGCCCTAGAGGACCATGGCTGCAGCAGCCTCTAGTGCCTCAATGTCTGAACAGTTCCCTAGGCAGATTTGAGTGAGCAGGGTGCCCTGGGGCTCTCTTCTCAGAACAAAATCTTTCAGAAGAGTGTACTCTTTATACTCTTTGAGACTGTGGTAAGTAGAGTTTTGCCAATTTGTGAGATGCCCTCAAGCTGTCTTTCCTAATGTCCAGATGCAAAGTACATAGCACTAATCTTTACAGTAATACACTCTCCTTGACCCCAACTTCACAAGGGTTGTCCTTCTGGCCAGGCTGCAAATGATTCACATCTTTCAGCTCTTCTTTTGCTCCTGGCTCTCACTGTTAATATGGTTTAAGCAGCCAACACCACCACAGCTTGAACAATGGAATGCCTTGAAATCTCCTCCACTAAATTAATTATTCTTCACTTTTAAATTCAATGTCACACAAAGCCTTAAAACATGAGCAAAATGTTATCTGCCAAAATGTAACTTGAATGTCTCCAGTCCAATTTTCAGTAGAGTCCTCATTCCTGTCTGGAACCTCATGCTCCTGGCCTTTGCTCCCACCTTCCTGCCAGCATTCTAGTCCTCTGAGCTCCATCCAAAATCATTCATCAAGCTCTGCTTACACCGTTCTAGTATTTTAAACTTTGAAATTCCACTCATAAAACACTTCCAAAGGCAATGGTCAGGTACAGTCACAGCAGTGATTGCGCTTTTCTAAAACCAATTTTCTGTATTAGTTACTTTTCTTCCACTGGGACAAAATACTTAACAACTGCAACTAAAGAAGGAGAGCCTTATTGGCTTGTGACTGACTCCAAGAGAGAAATGTCATGGCAGAAGGGCCTGGCTCAGGAAAGCTGCTAAACCCATGGCAGCCAAGAAGGAGAGAGAAAAGAAAGAAGCATAAGAATGCACTCTTCCAGGTCATAACAAGAGTGATGGACCTTTTCCAACCAGGGCCCACCTCCTGACAACATGTTCAACTATGAGCCCATCAAGACTAATCCACAAATGAGTATAGAGGCAACCATAATCTCATCTTCCAAAATCTCCACTTCTGAATATATGAGTCTTTGGTGGGGGAATACTTTAGATCTAAACCATAATAGAGGCCTTAAGCACCTCACCATGTCACACTCTTAATTCTCTTCCCTGTGTGACCAGAAACATGAAGTCATTCTAACAGGATTCTACTGAATGCAAATAGATATGCAAATCAATAGGAAATGGCTAAGTCATAGAGAACCCAAAAAAAAAATTAAAGCCCAGGTTATTTCTGTATATGGCAAAAGCTTTAAGTAGCTGCTACCATATTACCACTAAAAGCAGAATGAATCATGTCTCAGGAGGAGCTAATAGCTCTTAAAGAGACCTGAGTATAACACAAGTCCCTGGCAATAATCCTCTCCTTCCTGCCTGCTTTCCCTCCCTCCCTTTCTTCTCCTTCTCTCCTTTCCTTCTCCTCTGTCTCCACTATCTCCCTCCCCTGTCCTTCTCCTCTCTCTCTTCCTCCCCTCCCCCACCTCTCTCAACTCTACTATTCTAATATTCCAAGTCAAGACTGAATGTCTCATATTTGTATTTCATCATTTACACTGGATCTTCAAAGTCCCCCTATGGATTGATGTCCTAAGGAATCAAACCTGCACTTATTCTACATACTTACACTAAAGGCAAAGTGGAGATAAAGAAACCTACACAAGTTACAAGGTTGTCATGAGGAGCCCAGTCAGCTGAGATAAGTTCAGTGCAAACACAACACAAATGTAGCATTTGTAGTGCAGTGACCATTTCCAGTCAGTAATGACTACGTAATTAAATGATACTAGTTAGTCCATTCCTAAATTTTATTAAATGCATATATAGAAACCTGTTTGTAAGTATGTAAAATCAATCTGTATTATAATAGAGCTAATTTGTTATTCTTATTAAATATGCAGAAGTACTTTCAGTTGAAAGTTACTAAATAAAAACAAAACTAATATAGTTATGAACATATACATAAATGTGAAACAAATCATATTTGTACATGTATTTTCTCAATTATTGGAGTAGGTTGCATTACACATTAATAGGGTTGAAGTTCACAAAATGTAATAGATCTTGGTTAATTTATACATCTGTAGACATCCACGCTATGTACAAGGCCAGTTGTCAGTTTTCATAGGTCATTTCTTCAGTCCTTTGAGAGTCATTTTTTGTTCCTTGTGGAAATTTTGTAATAAATTCCCAAAGATTCCTTAAAATATATAAGACACAAACAAAATGTATGAAGAAAAATACATTAAAGAAAAAGAAATATAAACATCCATTTTAAGGCACATTTACCCCTGAACTGGTGAAACATCGCAATGATCTACTTTTGTTTAATGCATATGTCAGTAGAATTTGGGCTTTGAATAGAGCAAAGCTTTTCTGGTATTTGGATGCATGCCGGCCTCTTTTTCCTGACTGTGTTGTATGGCAGCAGAAGCAGGTCATTTCCATTATTGAGGATATAGAAGGGGCCTCCAAGCTGTGTACATGCAACTGTACTATTTCCCTAGGTGGCAGGATTAAAGAACCCGAGAATCTGGGCTCCCTGGATGGGTCATTTAGCACCAATTCTAGTACTTTTCTCCCTTGCGTTTCTCTGCCATTTAAATGAGAAAGTGAAATGTTCTGTCTTCTGACCTCCCTCACAGCTAAAGAGTAGCTCTGGAATCTGGTCCTGCCAGTGAGGTATAGGTGGGAGTCCCTGGCAAAGGCTGCCCTTCCTAAAGGAAGCAAATAAGCCTCCCAGGCCTGCTAAAATTTATCTTTCTCTGTTGCTCTCTTGCTCCTTGGATCATGGACCTCACACTTGAAGACAGCCATACTAAAACCCCAGGAGGAAAATCACCACAGGAGAATTAGGGATACCTCTGAGAGCAGGCCACCATCATCTAAAACTCTTTTCCCTATTGATACAAATAAGCCTTTCTATCTTTAAACCATCACGGTTTTCTACTGCTCCCAATCATGCCAGATCCTGAGATTTGAACTATAGCACCAACTTCAAGGAAAATAACTGTATAAAGTATAAAATTATGCAACAGATAATATGGATGAAAAATTTACTGTCTTAAGACTTTAAAGTAATATATTTAAAGGGTTTTCCAAAGATTTAACATCACTAGATATCATGTCATTTGAGAAAAGAAACCCACCACAGCCATATAACCCCCATTTCCCTGATCCCTTCATATGAGAATTCACCCCAACTTTTTAGCTTTTTCCAGTGAATTTATTGCTACATTGCTAAATAATGTGTGCATTTTGATGTTTAAATCTTAGGCTAACTAATTTTAAACACAAGAAGACATATACCATATATATTTAAAGTTAGTGCTCAAAAGTATGAGTATTTCAAAGGTCTGTTGTGTCAAATCTAGATTTGAGTGAATGGTTTTGAGAAAAGCATAATATTGTTACATATTTTTTTTGAGCCACTTATTATACCTGGAATATTTTAGGTTAATTACAAAATAGCACGAATGAATTATATGCAGAAAGCTTACTTCAACAAATAATAGTTATTTATAGCATGAAGCACAAGGTTTGAGATAAATTCAAGATGTTTGAAAATTAAGAAGTATGTTCATGACAGTGTCATAGGGAATTATTTTATGGACTTTGGACAATCATCAGCAGATGTCACTTACTAACTTTCAAAAAGTTGCAGTATTAAACATCTTTCATTGTTTTTAAAGTTTTCACTTGGACTCTTGTGTCCTGTTATGTAACTTTTCTCATTGTCCAAATGATCAAGCCTCACCTTTGTCCCAAGTATTTGAAGTGCTTGGTAACCCTGTTTCCATTCACTCTGTGAGATGCACACCTCAAAATTTTCTTTCTTTGTGTTCTTTCTTATCTTGTATAGGTTCCTCATCCTTTAGCTTGAGAACTCTAGGTATTTCCAACGATCACTGTTGGTCCTTCTACATTTTACTCAGGTAGCAGATCAATTTTTAGACTTTAAGGTGCTACCATAAACATAGCTTACCTCTAGGAACCTAATTTGTCAGTCTTCTCTAGTTTAGTACCTCTCCACATCCTAGAAGTGTTTCACCAAATTTGAAACCAAGTGCTGCCAAAAATAGAACACATTCTTTCTCTTATGTTAGCACCCATTTCCGGTTTCTTTTTTTTTCCAGTTTCTTTTTTATTATTGGTTATATCAACATCTTAGCCTCTACATTAGCAACCCTGAGCTCTTCCTGTCTCATCATCATCTACTTAAGAATTTTGGTCAAAGTAATTATAAAACAGGTGCCCTTTCACTGAAACACATGTTACACAAAAATGATTATTAGAGTTTGCTAGGAAAGTTTCTTGTTCAAATGAGAATTCTTGGAAAACATCCTGGTTTTTCTTTCTTCTGTTCATTGTTACATAATCAGATTACTGCTGTGATTTTCCATAAATTAGGAATCTATTCCTATTTTGGAATTCTGTGCATTTCTATATAGAAGCATTTATTTTTATTAAACAGGCATAATTAGGTATGACCACTAGAAAAAATAATTTTGAAATACTGTACTCTTGTATTCAAAAAAATGAATCCATATCAAATATTTTACTTGGTTTAGGAAGTGAACCAGGCAGTTCTAACAGAGGGCTCAAAGGATCTTCTTGCATTTTAATTTGTAATAAACAGAACACTGGGAATTTGGACTTTCTTTTTTAAACATATTATTTGCAAAAATTCTGTGATTGTGTGGTCACTTTTTATGTTTCCTAGAAATATTGTCTTTTTTGGAAAAACATGTATGTGTGTATCTCAGGTTGAATTGTTTATGGACCCTTTACTTGAGAAAGAAAATTAATATAAACCAATTATATTATTTTTCTTAACTGTTTATTTTTAAAGGTATTTAGTAAGTACTTTTTTCCTACTGATAACATTCTAAAATTATGAGCGCTTACAATTTCACTGAAGCAAAAACAAAACGAACTCATATATACATAAGAATGTATGTATGCACCAGCCAGGGATTTAGCTCAGTAGTTTTGTTGCCTGCTGCGCAAGTGCAAGGACCAGAGTTCAATCCCCGGTACCAAAAATAGAAAAGAAGTATGGCACTAGGTTATGGAAATAAGAAGCCACGATAAAGGGGGGGAAAAACTACAGAAAGGACTATAACTGGATTTATATCACTAGAAATAAGTAGATAGGTGAACAGATACTTTATTTGATGTTTATTCAGATTTTTTTTTTTTTGGTACTGGGGATCGAACGCAGGACCTTGTGCTTGCGAGGCATGTGGCAGCACCACTGAGCTAAATCCCTAGCCCTATATATCAGATTTTGACTGTAGGTAAGGCATTGTGCTGTGTCCTGGGGTGAAAGTGGGGGAAGTATTAAGCAGACATGTACATGGAAATATTTTTGGTTTTTATTTTTTTTATTCTCTTTTTTTTCTTTCCCCTTTCTTCTATTCTCCCTCCCACCTCCTTTGTTCTCCCCTTTCCATTAGAATATTTTCTTCCTACTTCCCAATATCTATCATCCATTTTGGTCCTTATTTGTGGAAAACTTTTGGTTTCTCACAAGAGAAACTGCAATATTTAAAAATGTGGTCTCAAAATGCATCCATTTACCTAAAAAGTCTCAATTTTATTCTTCTTTATGACAGAGTAGTACTCCATTGTGTATAAAAATCACATTTTCTTTATCCGTTTATCCAATGATGGGGATCTGGGCTGTTTTCAAGGTTTAACTATTACAAATTATTCTGCTATAAACATGGGTGTGCATATATCGCTGTGGCATGATGCTTTTTTAACACTTTTGGAAAGATACCAATAGTTGGGTCAACTGTAACTTCTAGTGTCAGTTTTTTTAAGAATCTCCATACTAACTGGATAAAGAAAATGTGGTTTTTTAATAAAATGGAGTACTACTCAGCCATAAAGAATGAAACACTAGAGTCATTTATAGCTAAATGGATGCACATC